CATTGTACTGCATCCACAGACCTAAAAGCAACAGGGCCCAGTGTCCATGTATGGAAACCTCTGAAAACAGAAATCAAAAGCATTTCTTTCTCTTTTATCTCAGGAATTTTGTCACAGTGGCAAAAAGCTAAATAAAACAGAAGTTTATTAAAATTCTCAAATTTGCTTATTTGTCTCCTAATTCCCTACAGGTAACTGAGAAGCAGAAACATGACCTTTTCAGGACACAAGCATCTCAGTTACATCAATCTTGGTACCAAAATGGCAACATTTACTTTTCTTACTCTACACAACACTCCAGGATGTTGAATTTGAGAAGCAGGACTTCTAATTAGGCACTTGTCACTAGGAAATCTTGATCAACTCCATAATGCCATTTTCAAAAGAAAACCCTTCATTTGATGACTTCCTTGAAAATAATATGAAGCAGGGTTGGCTTATGGTTTCCCTTCAAGAACTTATACAAAGGGCTAAAAGGGGCTTCAGTGATTTAGACCAAACCTTCCCTTTAGCAAAAGAGCACAGCAAGGTCTAAACAAAGAAGACTTACTCATACTCTGCATCTAAGCAGAATCTAGTTAGATTGGAACCCTGATCACTGAAATCTGAGCTCTAGCTCTTTGTTCCTTCTTTCTTCAGTAGGGAACTGAGATTTTCAAAAGCACTGCATTAAAAATTATTTTAAAGACTGAAACTCCATACTTCTTTTTCCTATTCTTTTTGCTTTGCATCCACCCATCAGAAAAATAAAAATAACATAAAATGTCAAATTGCTTTCACTGTAATTATAGCAGTGCTAAATTTTCTTTTTAGATTATTTAACATCTTATGACATTCAAAAATTTTACCTTTATAATATGTCTTACTGTAATGATTCAGATCGGTTTGAACAATGCCAATCTCTATCTAAGCAACTCTTTAAGGACCTTTAAAATGGCAGCAATTTTCCTCATTAAAAAAATGTTGTGAGTACTGCTCAAGGAGCAAATGAGGACATTAAGAGAATCTCAAGATCTCCACACGTGGATTTTCATGAGAAATAGTAAAAAACAGATCTTTAAAATGCATAAAGTGGAAGTCCATGTGTTTTTCATTCAATTAGGTTTGCCTAAATTAATGTTCTGATTCCTAAAAAGGCAAATGGCAAAGTTCAGTGTAGAACAAGATTCTTTGGAGGTACACTGTTCTGATGCAACTCCTGAATTTCCACATCAGGTGAATAGTGCAGAGGATCCTAGCTGACTAGGACAGGAAAGCCTGTAAAATATAGGACAAAATCTTTCTGATCCTCCTTAGGCAAACCTTCTTTCACTTAATAGCTTTAGTTTATCTTCCATGATAGTCCTGCTATGGGATCAATTCTAAGAGAAAAGCATACCTAAAAAAGCATGTTGCATATACAATATTCACTAAATATCTGTGTGTATGATTTACATATAATATTTTACAGGTAACTAAGCTAAAATTAAAGATCAGAAGTCTATAAAGACAGTAGACTTCCCCTCTTTAAGTGAATCCCGTCTTACTCAAAAGTCAGGTCACCAACAAAAATGTTTGGGAAAGATGCAATGGTAGCTATTTTCCTTTATAGCATGTTGCACATTTGTTGGCAGATCTTTCATTTAATGCAAGCTCTCTTTTCGGATGAGTTACTTAAGTAATTAATAGTATAAGCGAGGAATACAGGTGGCATTAGCATAAGGATACAGTGTAATGAATATGAATTGCAAATCGAAAGGAAAGACTTTAGGTCAAATGTCATATTCATCCCTTAAACTTGTCTTCTAACTCTCAGTTTCCTTCTCTGTGTGCTAGTATAATAATTACCATCTCATGAAGTACATAAGGTTTTTTCCTCTATAATGCACTGTGATAAGGTTATAGCCCAGTATCTGACAAGCAGAAGGTCTGCAAATGTTGGTTCCAGCCTTGCAACAGTTGCAGTGAAATGAAGTCTTCCATGTTTCCTTATAACCACATGCATAAGACTTTCAAGAAAAGAGACACAATAATAGAAAACAAAACAAACAAAACAAAAAACCACAAGGAAGGGATGACACTGTTGTCCCTTTTCCTGAAACTTCATCACTGAGAAGTGATGCCTTCTATTTTGGGGGTGCATTTATTGTGCAAGTCTCTCACTCACTCTAAATGCAAAAATCCCCAGTGACCTCTGCCCCTAAATGCCATGTACATTGTAGGAGGCTCTGGAGACAGAGGTGAAGGTGCCAGGCATCTGTGGAAGGTCCTGTCCTTTCCACAGCAATTAATTTCCCTTTCAGATCCAAGATGCTAGAAACACCTGAGCTAATCAAAGTAAATTTTTGAATATCTGGATTCCCTGACCCATTAACAAAATGTGGTGCCATACTATGTTTTATGTGATGTACCATGTGCCCAGGGTAGTCTTGCTTGCCCTCATAGTTTATTGAGACAATTATCATTATTTTTTCATTGTTCATATGGGATTTTCATCTCTCACAAAGACAGTAAGAACTGAAATGCTATCAAAACAAAATCAAGTATCATCAGAAAGGTAATGGAGGAGAAAGCTAGATTTGTTGTTGTTGTCTGTCTCCCAGGGAGAAAAATGTCAGAAAATATAAAAATCTTGATCCATTTTAAAGAAAAATTAAATTCAAATTTTCCAAAATTCAAGAAATTTCCTTGGGGAGAGAAATATGCAAGATTTTTCTGAAACAGAATTTAGGAATTCACTGCAGAGTTAAAAAAAAAATTCTTCTTTCTTGTTTCAATAATGAGAGATAGGTCTGGAATAACTGATGATTTTTTTTGCCATTCATAGCTGGGTAACATGGCAAGTCTTACCAGCATCTTTCTCAGTCATAAATGTGTTTTAATGGGCTGACATGTGCTTAATAATATAGGCAGCACCTGGATTCTTTATAGCAAAATGCCGCTAGGGCCTGTACTATATTAAAACTGCATTTTTGACCTGAGGCCGACAAGTTTCTATATTCAAATATCTCCTCGATTATAGAGAAACAGCCCAGTGTCAACTCACATTTTTCTTCTCCAAATAAGGAGGACTGAAGTTTAACTTTGTAAACTCTGAACATGAAAAATATTTTAATTATAAGTGATTAACTCATTTCCATTACTGGAAATCAAATAAATTTTATAAAATTCCTCTTATGGCACAAATTTACTCTTAGCTTTTATGACTCTATGGAATGAGGCCCCTTTCAGTATGGAAGAAAAGGAAAATTGTTAAATAGCTTCTCAACACTCTACTGAGTATTTGAGATATATTATCTCCTTTAATGGCAACCACAGTCTTGTGAGGTAATGGTTTTTCTATCCTTTATGTGATAGGCAACTGCTAAGCTGATTTCCCATAATCCATGTCTCCTAATATTCATTCCCTTGTGCAATTCATCCACTTGCTTCTAATGAATGAAATATGACAGAAGTGATAGATGCTATTTCCAATAAAACAGAAGACTATGGCTTCTTTCCTGGGTATTCTCATCTACTCTTTCCTGTCAGCTTTCTGGAAAGACCCATGAGGATAAGTTTAGAAGTGGATATTCTGGCACCTGCCAATAGCCAGGGGAGTCATCTTGGAAGCAGATTTTCCACCCATTGGACCTCATGATGGTGGCCATACCATCAACAACTTGACTGAAGCCTTATGAGAGCCTGAGCCTGAACAACCTAGCACGTTGCTCCTGGATTCCTGGACCATAGAAACTGAAACATAATCAGTATTTTCAGTATCTAAATTTTGATGCAATTTATTATGCAGCTACATAGCTAATTAATATTCTCCAATTTACATAGGAGACAAAGATAAGAAATTTATCCAGGGCCACAGGACAGAGATGTGCTCACCGGTCCTTTTGCTATTATCAAGGTCTCCATGGGCTTTTTTGTTGCCTTATTGGCATTTGAGGTTCTCCTATATCCTAAGGATACCTTGACTATTAGATCATATATACTATTTAATATTTAACTTTTTCTCTTGAATTTGAATACTAAAATTTATAATACAAAAGGAGAAACATTTAAATTAAAGAAAAATGCATTCTTATTTAATCCATGGTGGATGTTGGTCCACTATGCAAACAGGAGAGTGGGATTAGGACTATTTATCTAAGGAGGTTTCTTGCAGGATTTGTTGGCCTATCAGCTTTCCTCAGATCCCCCAAGTTCCGTGCCAGCCAGGAGGTCTGACCTCATTCAGTACTTTTTACCTATGTAAATACACTGTTGCTTGAACCACAAGAGTCATTTGTCAGACAACCAATGGAGAAGGAGGGAGAAGGCTCTTTTGTTCCATATTGAAGACACCCATTTGTAAGATCCAGAATGTTGAAAAGCATGATTGTCCATAGATCTGTTCCATATTGCTGTACATTAAGATCTATACTCCATTGTAATAAAATTTAGTGCATCCAAGACTTTAGCCATTTGAGGACAATTAAGAAAAATTTTAACGTACGTACCATCATATGAAATTCCAACTACATATTTTGGATGCAGTGTGGATGTGATTCCGCAAGCCATTTTCATGATTTTTTCCTTTCCTCATCAAAAAGTAGAAAACAACCCTCTACTAGAGTGAACATGGTGAAGGTTATGTATTGTATATGTAGTTTCTGCAGAGAACCGAGCAGAGTAATCAATAGACTTTTTATTATGCTAAATGCTTCTAGATAAAAATTCCAACTCCCACTTCTCTGATAAGACTGTTGAGAAACAAGAGAAATAACAGACCTGCCAAAGTTTACATAGATAATTGTGAATTCACTGTTTTACGTTTTTCCTAACTAGTAAAAAAAAAAATGCTCCAGAGTAAATTCGTGAATACCACCAGGTCATCATGCATCCTTGGATTATGCTTTGTTTTTGTCAAATCCTCAACCTGAATTGACCTGACTGAACAAGAAACCATCCTAAAAACAGGAACCAAAAGGAAGGGAAAAAAAGGAAGGAAGGAAGGAAGGAAGTCTGACAGAAGTGTTAGCAGACAGTACCTGTGAGGATTTCAGCTGCGTGTTCTGTCATTTTCTGAATTACAAGTATCAGGATTCCGCCTTCCAGGCTCAGCAGCAGGGTCCCCGAGCCTTCAGATAGCTCTGTGGACAGAAGCAGACCATCCTTGTTCCATGTTCGAAACTGGAAACTCACTGAGAGCCCATCAATTTGGGGGGTGCCGGGAAGCAACAAATAACTGCTGCTAGAGTTGACAAATGTGATGGGAACAATTTGTGGTTCAGAGCAGGAAAAAGTGACATTGCCCTGGAAAACAATAAAAATCAAACATATAAAAGCCATTTTTTATTCTGCAATCTGACAGCTGATATAAACAACCACCTGGAGCTGACCTTAATTTCAAGATCATTCCACATTCAGCTGCAAGATCTTAAAGGAAAAAATAAGTCAGTTTTGCTGAGGTACACTCACAGGATTGTTTTCTGTCCCTGTTTTAGGGATCACAGTGTTATCTGTAAAGAAGGCCATTTGAGACTCCAGGAAGGGAAGGGAGTAAAAGATCAACGTTTCCTAAGGAACCAAAGATATAAAAATAATCACATCCACTCATTGAATAAATCCAGATAACAAGTCAACTATGTGCCAAGCACTGGGATAGCTTTTAAAGATATACACATTGAAAAATGTTGTTACAGTGTGGAGTGTAGTAAAGCAGAGATAGATACTAGCTCCAAAGGGAGCCTGACAGGAGAAATAACTAGACAAGAAAAGTTTTTTCAGGTGATGGTCTCATGAATGGAGGTGGGGAAGGAGAGAACTGAGTGTGCCCTGGCTAGCATTTTCAGCAAAAATCACATCACACCCAAAGGCTTGGGGAATTTATCATTTGTATAGAGTACTGAGTGGAGCAGGAGGAGGTGGTGAGCATGAAGCAGGTAAGACTAGAACGGCAATTTGAGGTACACCATCTATAATGTTTCTAAAAAAAAAAAACTCATACTACATTGGAGAAATTAAATCCCTGATGTCTGGTGCACCTTTCCTGACTTCAGGGTCCTGCTTGTATGATGACCCTAGCATCTGGTCAAGACTATGACAAGGGCTTCCCAAGGCAGCAACTGCCACAGGTCACTGGTCCCCTTAGCAGGAGACTCCCTTTGTTTCCAGGATGGTCTTTTTTTTAGTGCACCTGTCTTATTCTCATTTGCACCTGTCTTTGTTTTGTGTTGCTAAAATTAAAATATGTAGCTCAGAATTTTATAAGCAACAAAATGTTTATGTAGTTTGCAAGTTTGGAGGTTGAAAATCCATAACTAGGTAATCCCAATTGTTTGGCATATGTGAGGGCCCTCAACTGGGTCACAACATGAGGGAGAAGCAGAAAAGGAAATACCTACATGCAGAAGGAGTAAAACACATGTGGTGGTCTCAGTTTATAACAACCTACTCTTGAGAGGAGTAACATACTTGATGAGACCAGCAGTAATCCCTTCTGAAGGTGGGAGCCTCAATGACATAACCACTTCCCACTAGACAGTATCTCTGACAGATTCCACCATTTCAACACTGTCACATTTGCTCCAAGATTTCAGCATATGAAGCTTTGAGTGGCACAACAAAACTATTCTTTTGAGTCCTCTTTCTGAACAGGCCTGACAGAAGACTCTGTTTTTAGCTCACTTATTCCAATTTTAGCCAAAATTACAGGAAAAGTTCCCCACCCTTGATATGAGCACCTTTGATACCTTTTCACCATAATCTGCATTCATCAAAGGCCCTGTTGGTCTAATTTAGGAAAGAATCACTCTTTCTGTTTCCATCCATTGGTCCTTGTCTGCTTCTTGGATATAAATCCCCATTCTGCTTTGTCATATGTAAAGCTAAGCCTAATCTTTCTCTCCCGCCACAAAAACTCATGGTAGTAGTCTTTGTTTATCTTCTTAACAAATAACATGATTTTTAAAAACACTTCTCTGGGAATCTACCAAGGTTTGTTTTTTTTTGTCAGGCTTCAAAATATAGAAGTTTCCATCTCATCTCTCTTGTCAGAAAATAGTTTCATTTTGAACAATGGAGCACAGAACTTTGAAAACCTTAAGGACTTGTTTATAGACTATCTTAAGGGGGAGGTTCAGTATCTCTGTAAAAGTATTTTGTTGAATGCCATAAATAACAAAATCTGATACTACCTCCTACCTGACCTATGAAGCTTGATGGCCTCTTAAGGATGCTAAAGTCCTTGAAACAAAAGGATGTCAGTGAAAGAAGCAAAAGCTTTTCATTGGTCCATCTTTCCCAAGGAAGCCTTCCCTTGTGAGAAAAGGGAGAAACCCCAGTTGAATAACTGTTATGAAGGAGCAGTGTGGGATCATACACAGAGGAAACCCATCTTAATCTGGGGACTAAGGCAGACTTCCTTAGTCTGAACAATCTCTGAAACCAAGATTTTTGCAGAAGAGTAGAAGTAACCAATTCAGATGTAAGGGTAAGTGTGATCTGAGTAGAGGCAGAAAGCATTTACAAAAGCTGGAAGAATGAAGGTATATGGCAGATTCAAGTACTGGAGAGAAGGCTTTAATTTTGAAGCCAGCACCACAGCAAGAAAGGAGAATTGGAATGGGTATAGCTTCAACCACATCAGATTTCAGGCTGATGTGAGTCAAATTTTATCTCAAATTTTATCTTACAGAAATGTAAGAGTAGGAAGAGGTAAAGAAGGACTTGATGTAGCAACTGGGATATATATTCACACCTCAGCTTTACACTATCCCTCAGGGGACGGCAATTACATGGAGAATGCAATATGAGCAGAGAGAGAGGGAGGACATGGGAAAATTGTATTCATATAGTCCAGAGCAATTGAGGGTTTGTTGAGTGCTCAATCTAAAAGTCTGAAAGGGTTAATTATGTTGTATGAACTGGACTAACCATACAGCATGAAGATTAAATATCATTTCTGGATCTGTCAGAGTGATTACAAATGAGATTAGCATTTGAATTACTAGACAGAATAAAGCTCATGACCCATCCCAATGTTGGTGGCCATCATCCAGTCTATTGAGGGCTTGAAGAGGTCAAAATGTAGAGAAGGAGAAATTTATACCTTTCTGTTTCCTAACTTTCAACTGTGCTAGAACATCATATATCCTATAGCTCAGACTGGGAACTTTAATATCAGCTCCACTGGTTCTGAAGCCTTCAAACCCAGACTGAATTACATCACTGTTTTATTGATAGGAGGGACCCTCCAGTTTGGAAGTAGCAGATCACAGGACTTCCTAGGTTCCAGAATTCAGTGAGCCATTTCCTCATAATAAATTGCAATATCCAGTCTCTCTGTTTCAAAGAGGCAGTTCTGTTAATCTGGAGAAAACTGATTAATACAAATAGCAATAGAGGAGAGAAAGAAAATTAAACAATTTATGAGAAATTTTCAGATACACTTGCTAGGAGGCAATGATCAGGCAAAGGGACAGAAGGGTGAAGTGTGGCTCCCATTCTCCTCTAGTTTCACAATGGACTAGGATGGAAAAGAACAGATTGCTCCTAATTGCTGATAGACCATTACCTCTCAGTTGGTATACCCTTGTCACCACACGCTTCCTACTACAATGTGAGAATACACTAACAGGAAATAAAAGCTCAAGCTCGCTCATCCCATCACTTCGTATTGTTTCTATGGAAACCTGACTACCATACACTCCTGATGTCTTCCTCTCTCCACCAGGGATGGCCTCTCTCCTGCCTCTGCATCCACCTTCACACTCAGTGGACCATGCCTGAGGCCTTTCCCAACACTCCCACCCCCATGATGGCTGCCTTCTCCTTGGATGCCAGTGGTATGGACTATTTGCAATTTTTTTCCATATGTGTTCTAGTGCCTTGTAATAATTAGCTACTTTTGACAAATGCACAGCCTTACATAATAAAATATTTGTAATTAGGGATACAGCATCTTGCTTTGAATTCTGAGAAGAAAGTGGGAAAACTGTATCTTTTCTCTGATTCTCATTGTTTCCTATGATAATTAGGAGAATAGCAACATAAGATTGATTTAGGATGGAATGAGAACACGTTACCTGTCTAACATTCGTTCTTGGCCTGTGTTTCTGTTTTCCCAGGTCTTACACTTTTTTGGATGACCTTAGTATCCCTTTTATAACCTAAAGTTGTTGGACTGGAAGTTTCTAGGATTGTCATTGATTCCAACAGTCTTGACTATCTCATACTGAACACAGACATCCTTGTCATCTGTCTCTTCTTTGGGGAGGTTTAGGCATCATCTCAATCATTGTCCTGTTGTCATGACAAGTGTAACCAAGTTTTCACATAAATACTTTTCTCCATAGAAAATATTTAATATTTAAAAATATTAAATACTTTTCTCCATAGAGTAACTCTGAGCACAAAGAAGGTAACATGGGTCTCTTCCTTAGAAATTTCTCTCTCACTGTAAGAGAGAAAGTAAGAATCACCACAGATGATAGATAATGCTATATAAAAAGAAAAGGTAAATTAGCAGAAGGCAATATAAAAAGAAAAGAAGCTTAATGTTTTTAAACTTCCTTACCAGAGTGTGACAACCAATTGACTATCTTCTCTTCCTCCTTTTTTGCCCATCCTAAAATATTCTACAAAGAGAATGCTAAGAATTAGAGTTGAAACTTTACCGGAGACAATGAAATGACAGAGGTCATTTACAGCTGCTTAGTCAGGCAGTCATGGTACAGGGGCTGTACCAGAAAAACCAGAAGACAATGAGACTGAATGTGAGTTCTGAATAGCATTCTCCTTCTGAATGCATCCAGGCCATCCTACCACCAAATATGAAGTGTGTCAAATGCTGACTGAAATCCAATAAATGTCATCCAACTGAAAGCTTTAGTTTGTGACAGAGGTGCTTATCAAAAAAGGAGATCTTGCAGTAATAACATAGTTATAATGAATTCCTTGTGACTGATGAGTGGGAGTATCATGACAGGGGCTTTATTTGTTGACAGAAAGAAGTCGGTACCATTTAAGTCTTTATCATGTGACTACAGAACAAATCAAATTAATTGATACTTATCTTTCATATAGAATAGCCAACTAGAAAAGATGCTGCTGTACTGTCAGATACAATGATGAAGCACCATAGTGGTCAAAATGTGAGTATACAATAGATGGAACAGACTGAGATGTGATGGATAGTGAGCTACTGGTCCTCTGTGTTTATAGAACATGCCTAAGCTCAGAATCCAGGTGGAGACCACTGGGTTATCAGGAATTTTAGCCAGGTCTCAGCACATGGCATCAATGTCATAACT